TTATTAATCCCAAAGAAAATTAAATGTAACAGTTCTGACTTTAATTAAAGAAAATTCAATTTATTAATCCCAAAGAAAATTAAATGTAACAGTTCTGACTTTAATTAAAGAAAATTCAATTTATTAATCCCAAAGAAAATTAAATGTAACAGTTCTGACTTTAATTAAAGAAAATTCAATGTATTAATCCCAAAGAAAATTAAATGTAATGTCATGTCAGAATCTGACAATTCCGACTTTTATCTCAAAATTCTGACATTAGTTTTAAAAATCCGATTTATTCTCAAAATTATAACTTTTTCATCATTCTTAATCAATTTAGTATTGCTAGAGCCCAGCATTATATATTTGATAAAGTAGAAATATTATAAGGATAATTCTATGAGAATAATGAGATTAATGTCAGAATTAATCCCAGAATAAATTGAGAATACAGTCAGAATTTAATACCTTTTTTTTTTTTTTTTTTTTTGAGTTGCCATTTTTTATTTGACCCGAATCCTTTTCCGTAGGAATCAAATAAAGGGGTGTGTTCGTTTAGGATGGGGGCGGGGCTTAACGACAGCTGGTTGCGGTGATTGAGCGCTGGTGTGGCAACAGACTGGGCAGCATCTCTGCTGAATCTCTGCAGACTGACAGATAGCCTCCAACTTTGTGGAGTTTTTTTTTTCTCTCTTTCTTAAGTAAATAATTAATTACAGATTAAAGCAAATAAAAAAGTAGAGCTTCGTTTTTAATGATGTTTGACTTGAAAAAAAGAAATAGTTTGACCTTGAGAGTCAATCGTGAGGTGGAGGAGTTCAGGCGCGTGGCGGTCCGTCGGAGAGACAGAGCGACAGGTGACGGCCTTGTCCCAGGTGAGTAAGCCAACCTTCACCCAGGCTCTCTTTAAACACCACTTTCTGTCTCATATATAATGTTTATATATTATGCATCTCTCTGACAGTGAACAAAAAAAAGTAAATTTGGCACATTAACTGGGATTATATCATTAATTTTATTTATTTTGCGCTGCAGCGTTGGGTCGATTATTTATAATAAAGATTATTATGCATATAAAAAGTACATAAAATGTCCTTTAGCATCAACCAATGCACACTAATGGAAACAGGAAAGGAGACTCCAAAAGCTCAGCAGAAACAAACTGTATCAAATTGGTGTTGGTAACATATAAAGCCTTTTTTTTCTGTGTATGTATGTATGTATGTATGTATATATATATATATATATATATATATATATATATATATATATATATATATATATAATCTTGGATGCAATTCAAATGCACATTCCAGGATTAAAAGTAATAAACTCTTAGCCTAAAAGTACTAAAAGGTGACCAGGGAATATAGCACTAATTGTGTGTGTGATTATACTAGGCACACTTGGTGACTTTGTTAGATTAAGGCTTTATTCAACATGCCATGAATGAGCTTGGACTTTGCCTTTATGTCTTAACATAAACTACTTCTTTAGTCCTTTCAGAAGCACATTACCATACAAAGAGGTTAGTGTTCTCAGTGTGTGATTTAAAGGATGGAGGATCCAACAGTGCAACCCATACTGAGACCAATATGAGGGAACTGTTCTTCGGCCGGCTGGTTTCTTTGAAAAACTATGAAATGTTACTAGTTTATGAACAAAACATCATCTTTTTTAGAACCTGATACAGTGAATCTGATTATGATTTTTTTTTTGACAGAAACTGTGTTAAAAATATCCAGAGGATAGAAGCAGTTCGGCTTTTTGACGACTTATATTTGTGATTTTCTTTAAGCTCAGTCTTTGTTCTCCTTTTAAACTTCACTTTGATGACTTTGCCTAATGTGCATGAACAAATTCAAGATTTAATTAAAGAGGAAAGTTGTGGCGATTTTGATATCTTATGATTTCTCGCTGCAGAATTACAACAAAAAAAAAAAAACACGTCTCAAAGATGATTTAATCACTTATTACATCCTAGTTATTTGTATTAGGATAAAGGATAAGGATAAAAAAAAGTTTTTTAAGTCAAAATGAAATTGTTGATGAAAGTATTAAAATCTGTGCATGTTAGCAGATTTTATGATTGTAAATGTTGTTATAATATATATAGTTCTAAATGTTCAAAGGGGGACAGCACTGCCCATAGAATGATGCAGCCATCACCAATTTTTTTTAATGAAATACTTCAAATATGTTTATTTTCATTCTGTTGGGAAGGCTAAATTTCTGTTCTGCTATTGCGATTAAACCAGATA